CATGTGACAAATTGCACCGTGGACAACCGTTGGAGCAGGATGTACCATGATTGGTGTCTGAGTCCAATTAAATCTTTTCTGATGTCACATTTGGGGGAAATAATTTCATTACTGTTCCCGGAGTGTGGCATTTCCTAGCAACTTGTCCTCCTAGAATCTAATTTATGAACCGTCCTTAATCGAGAAGGATCCATAGGAGAAGAAATATTTCTTCGTAGCCACTAGACCCGCCCAAAAGTGAGAATCCCCAGGCTTCCAGTATACTTGGGATACCTCCTTGGAACCCACATATTTCCTCCTCAAGATGGTTTGCCATACACCATTTTCCGTCAGTAATTTAAACAACCATTTGCCGAGGAGGGCCCTATTCTTAACCTCAAGATCATGAATGCCCAACCCGCCTTGGTCTTTGGGACGACAAACCACACTCCATTTAGCAGGTCAATATTTCTTTCGCTCGCTATCTCCTTGCCAAAAGAATCTTGATCGGAAACAATCCAATCTATGTAAAACTCCTTTCAGCAACTGAAAGAAGGAAATCATATATAGTACCATGTTACTTAGTATTGAGTTTATGAGGATCAATCTTTCACCCAGAGACAATAGTTTACCTTTTCAACTGCTAAGTCTTTTTTGTAGCCTCTCCTCGACGTAGTCCCATTCAACATTTGTGAGTCTCCGATAATGTATCGGCATCCCCAAATATGTGGTCGGAAACTGGCCCAACCCACATCCAAACAGTTTAGCGTACAGGTGGGCCTCATCTTGAGCCTCGCCAAAACAAAACAATTAACTTTTATGAAAGTTGATATTTAGACCCGAGAGTTGCTCGAATGTTGATAAAATTAATTTCAGATTTCTCGCTTTCTCGAGATCATGATCCATGAAGAGAATCGTATGGTCGGCATATTAAAGTATAGAGAGACCACCATCAACTAGATGACTTACTACCCCATTAATTTGGCCATCAACCTTGGCACGCTCAATCATGACCGCTAGCATATCTGCCACTATATTGAATAGCATGGGCGATATCAAGTCACCTTGCCGCAGTCCCTTCTTTGTTTTGAAATAGTGTCCAACATCATCATTGACCCTAATGACAACATTACCTCCAGAAATGAAGCTATGGATTATAGCACGCCACTCTACAGAAAATCCTTTCATTATGAGAGTCTATTGAAGAAATGACCATTTGACTTCGTAATAAGCTTTTTCAAAGTCTATTTTGAGTACCACCCCATTCAACTTTTTCCGATATAATTTATGGTCTATTTCATGAAGGATAGCAACTCCATCTAGGATGTTTCTTCCTTGCATAAAAGCAGTCTATGAAGGACGAACCACATGTTCAGCAACTGAATTTAGCCTAATAGTCGCAACCTTCGTGCATATTTAAAAACTAACACTAAGGAGGAAAATAGGTCTATATTGTTGTATCCTTTCAGCCTTATTAACCTTAGGTAATAAAATAATCTCACCGGAGTTAAGCGAAACAATTCTAGATGGCTAGCATGTAGGTCGCTAAACAAAACTAGGAGATCCGGCTTGATGACTTCTCAGAAGTTTGGATAGAACTCAGTGGGAAAACCATCCGGACCCAGGGCTTTGTTGTGCTCCATTAGGAAAACCTCCTTTCTAACTTCCTCCTCGGAGTATGGGGCTGCTAGAAGGTCGTTTTCCTCATCAGAGACCTGGGGGATGTCATCTGTTCGGGACTCAACCAATGAGAAATTTCCTTCCTCTGGGGATCCGAACAAATTTTTATAATAATTAGTGATATAAGATTTAAGTTGCTCAAGCCCCTCAATCATACCCTCATCCTGTTGCAGGGAATGAATAATTTTCTTCCGGTGTCTGCTGTTGGCGACTCCATGGAAATATCTAGTATTCGAATCGCCTTTCAGGATAAATTGAGAGTTACTATGTTGCTACCATTTGAGTTCATCCACACGCAACATGCTAGGTATCTGTGCATTCGAATGACTCTTGGCCTCGATTTCATGCTCAGATAGAGGTCTAACCTCTGCCAAAGCTTCTAATTCATCAATGATAGATGAAAGACGAACCTTCTCCTTTTTTGAGGATACCCACCGTATGCCTAGCCCAACCACCAAGGAATTTGTGTAATGCACGCATTTTATTATTCCATTTGTGAATTGGGGTATGTTCGGCCACCGGTTTGTCCCACGCCTACTTGACCATGCCGTGGAAACCATCCCGAAGCAACCATCCAAGTTCGAACTTGAACTTGCATCTATGTTGTGGTCGTGGCAAACCAGTAGTTAGGAGAATGGGTGTGTGGTCTGATATGGCCTCAATACGAGGTAGAGCACGAACAGACACCATAGGAAATTTAGATTCCCAGTCGATATCCATTAAAACGCGGTCTAGTTTCTTATATGTTGGTTTCGGAAGACTGATCGCCCAAGTGAATTGTTTTCCAATCATGGAAACCTCTCGCAAATCTAGACTGTCGATGACAGCGTTGAAAAGGAAAGGCCAATGATTACCAAACCTACCGCAACTTTTATCATTTGAAAATCTAAGACAATTGAAATCCCCACCTATAAGAATGGGGTAGGGATTATTTTTCAGTAGATTAACCAATTCACGGAGAAAATCGGCCTTGAACTCATCCTGGGCTGCCCCATACACGACGATGAGGGTTCATGTAAAGTTGTCAGCTTTGTTGCGAATATGGAGTTTAACATGAAACTCACCATCTGAACTAGCCAACACATCCATAGTCCCTGTATTTATGCCAAATAAAATGCCCCCAGAATGACCTCTAGGTGGTCGTGAAACCCAAGTGAAGTCTATCTCGCCAGAAAGATGGTTAAGTAGACTTACTGAGAAATCACGTCTCCTCGTCTGAGAGATAGCCAAAACAAATTAAATTGTATTCTTTATTACATTCCACACTGAATGAATAAATGTTTATTAGCCAAGTCATGAAGACATATGCTATTAAAAAACATTCCATTCATGAGGAAACAATAGGAGATTTAGAACATTTCGCCCTCTTATGGGACTTACTATCCTTTTTTCAAATGTGTTGTCTTTGATTTACGTCCAGATGTTGTAAGCTCGATCAATGAGCTAAGCCCGAGTTCATCTAGGCCCACATCCGAAACCGTTCCTACTAAATAGGAGAGTAGCTGACCATCTGATGTGGCATGCAGCTCCTCCTCATTAGTATGTCAGGCATAAGACATGCTAGAAACACGTGGAGTAACTTTTAATCTGTCATATTCCAAATGTTTCAAAGCGTTAGTCAAAATAGAAATATCCTTCTCATTCTTTCCTAGACTAACACACATTATTCAACTTAGAAACGATGGCTGTATTGGAAAAGGCTAAAAGGATTTGGGTGATGACGTAATACCTTGGTTGTCGAGGTTCTGCACTGCTTTACGCCGCATAGCCTTGGCCAAGGAGTCCTCATCTGTGTCCATAGTACCGTCGTCGGCAACCGTGTGCCGACAGCTTTGGCGTGTAGGTGTCTCCCCCAGCGGTGGTCATGGCACTGGCTCTGCTGCCGAAGGAGGGGATGGTGGTGGAGTCGCAACCCCCTCCCCGACAGCGTCTACCGCCGTCTCGAGCAACTAGGCTAGTGGCGTAGCGGCACGTTGCTGCACATCCAAAGGCAGGCCAACTGGTCCTAGCCCGTGAGCAGCCAGTGCGGCCGACATGTCGATAGCCAGGGTGTAGCCTCGAAGCCGGATCCTCCTGAGCTGGGTGGTGGATCGCCACCATATGAGCCACCGGTGCGGTAGCCCGCGGCTGCACACCCAAGGCCGGTTCCTCTAGAGCCGAGGGTCGGGTGGCCTCCATCTGAGCGTCCGCCTGTGGTCGCTCCGGAGACGTGAGCGACCGCTCCACCAGGCCGCCTGTAGCCTGTACCAACGCGCAAGCGGCCTGGGATGCAACCTACTGTGAAGGCGACGACGGCTGCAACGCGGTCGGAGTACGCGGAGCGACATGCAACGAGGACTCCTGCTAATGCATCCGCGCAGATAGTTCAAGACAACCACGCAATGTGGAATTAGCTCGAAGTACTGTGGCGATCTCCATGCCCCTTGGTGTCTGCGGCGAGGAGTTAAACGGGGTCACTGCCAAAATCATAGAACTACCTCCCGGAGCACCACGAGAGACCACGTTTGCACGACTGCCATTTGTAGGAGCAGCACTAGACGAAGGTTGGTTGGATGGGTTTCCGGAGTTATCCGAGGTGTCCATGTCATCGTCCTTCTCCTTCACACCGCCATCATCGCTAGTATCATCACCCTTGCGTCTCCAAATGAACGGTACAAAGTCTGGATCCGGAAGATAACCTGCTGGTTCTCTCCTGAACCTAAATGCATTGCCCTTGAGCTTAACCATCATATCCCTTGCAACGAACGACCCGACATCATCCTTGTCCTTTGCCAAAATCTGAGTGTTCGTCATAGCCACAAGAATACGAACCACCCCATGTTGTTGCAAACTAATGAGGTCGAGGTCCAGGGTCTTGCCCATCAACGTACCAACAGTCCAAAGACCCCCAAAATAGCGCACGGATGTATACAAAAATTAATATGTCATCCATGTGAAGGCCAAACAATGAAAGCTCGGCGGAAGGCAAGAATCAACATAGCGAGCGTCATGGCCCTCTAAGCTCTAGATCTGAAGCAACCAAAGCCCGCCGGACCTTGAACTCCCCTTCTACCGCAGAGGTAGCAAAAAGGCATCTGGAGGAGGAAAAGATGGTCACTAGATACCACTCACCTGCTCTTATGACAACAACAAACCAAAATCTACTATTTACATGTGCGACCCGAGCTCCACTCCCATGCCCACTACGGTCGGGGCTAGGAAAATGAAGCGATTCTCAATAGATAAATGCGAGGGAGGAAAGAGAAAGATCGATAATTAAATGAGCCTGGTGTGAGTTTCTGCTTATTTGAGATGACATTATTTTGCTCTGATCACATATCAATGAACTACTGGCACACATATCAATAGGGCAGAATCCCGGTGGTTCTGCCGTACTCGACAAGGTCATCAAGGATCTCACCTAGATCATCGTACTTGAACACAAACCCTTCCCCGATGAGCTTCTCAGACGACACACACACTCTCGGCTTCTCTGGGGACCCATCAAATCTGCAAAAGGCATACCTGGATGTTGTTAAACCTAGCAAAAAAAACATGCACGCGTATCGGGTAGTTCTTCAGCCAGAGGATTAGCATACCGTTCAGGTTTCATATTGTATTGTGGGTACTTCTCCGCCATGAGACGAGCGAGTTGCAACACGGTGGTGTTGTGACTGCAGCACAGGTATCTTCCCGAGGAGGACTCATTCTCGGCGATGAACACCTCGGCATGACAGAGGTCGTCGATGTGGCTTATGGGCACGCAGTCCGTGGTCGACTGCATGCCTATCATGATATCCATCTGTGCCTCGTCGCCTGAAAAATGGATAGGACAGGCAGACAACCATGCGTGTGACAACACCGGTCAGAAGAACACGGGACAGAAAACAGAGCTTACTTGCTGTAAAATAAAATGAAAAGAACATAGAGAAATCCTAGCCTCTCTCACCGGTCAACAGGGAGAGGGTGACAGGGACGCTTGATGTGGGTTTGGAGACCGGCGCCGCGCCCAAGATGAACACCGGCAACATGGTGACAAGGCCGATGCCGTTCTCCTCCGCGAATTTGGTCGCCGCCTTCTCAGCAAGCACCTTCGACACTGCGTACGCCTGGGATGCCAATATACACCGAACCAATACCAACGTTTATGAAATGTCCGGGCCCGAGATACTGAACACAAAGGATTTATGTACCCATGTTTCTGGTTTGTTGGCCCTGAGGTACTCGACGTCGGACCAGGAGCCCTCGTCGAGCACATGAACATCGTCCGGCAGCGGCCTCATGGAGACCGCAGAATCCGACGACGTCAGGATCACCCGCTTCACCGTTCCGGCTCTCACGCACGACCTCATCACGTTGAGTGTTCCTTGCACGGCTGCGTCGATCATATCCCTCTGCAGCCGAACACGAAGCAAGTTAAAGGCGCGAGCTTGTTCGATTTGGTTGGGATTGAAGGGATTGAGGGGATTAAATCCCTTGCAAGTGAAAATATTCTCCAATCCTCTTAAATTTGCTGATGAGGGGATTAACCGAACAAGAACTGAAGAGGAAATAAACTAGTCCCTTGGATTCATATTAATTGTCGCTGATTTTGTACGATTAGAGGGAGTAGCATAATTGTGATGCCAAATGCTGAAATGTCAACATGATCTTCCCCACGACTGAGAATAATTTGTCAGGGAGTGAGTGATGGCTCTGACAACTTAAATGCCAAATTGTTTCCGATTCCCCACAACTCCATCATCATCAGATGCCGGAAGAACATTCATGCATGCAAATGAAAACGAAGCTTGCTCCGGCGCTGGAGCCGGAAGACAGTTGTTTACCTCAGGGTCTGCTGACCCGAAGTCCATGGGCGCAGCGACTAGGAAGGCGTAGTCGCAGCCGGAAACTGCGTCGTCGAAGCTGCCTTCTTCATCCAGCCGGGCACGGATGATCTCCAAGGGGCCAAGTGCTTGCAAGTCCTTGAGGTGGGAATTCTTCTCCGTGTCCTCTGCTCATAGATTACAGAATATCTTAGAACTGAGATCAAAGCTAAGCTTGTTTTCAGAGCCTTGGCAAGCTTTCCTGCCTGACTTAACCAAGCAAATCATAATGAATATAGACAAAACTAGGAAGAACATAGGATTTCAGATCAACCTCTGAAGAGAAGTTTTTCTCAAGTACAGACAAGAAAGAACTAGAAATGAGGAAACAAGAAGCCAACCGGGGTCTCTGACCGTCGTCTTGACGGCGTACCCCTTCTCCAGCAGCGTCTTGACGAGCGCTGAAGCTATGTAGCCGCTCCCTCCGGTGACGCACGCCGTCTTCCGCATCTCGCCGGCCGACATCGCTGGGCACGGATGATCCCCTCGCTCACCTCGCTTCAAGCACAAAGGTTGTGAGGTCGTTCCTCTCGTATGGTCGGTTGTTGGCAGCTTGGCACGTTGACAGTGACACGTGCTGCATAGTACTCCGTTCGTTTCTAAATATGAGTTCTTTTACAGATTTTAATATGAACAACATACGGAGCAAAATGAGTGAATCTACATTTTATAATATATCAATATAGTCGCTCCGTTTCTAAATATAAGTTTTTTAGACATTTAAAATGGACTATAACATACGGATGTATGTAGACATATTTAGAGTGTAGATTCACTCATTTTGCTTCATATGTAGTCACTTGTTGGAATCTTTAAAAAGACTTATATTTCGGAACGGAGGGAGTACATCCGTATGTAGTTTATGTTGAAATCTTTAAAAAAACTTATATTTAGGAATGGAGAGAGTAATAAACGATAGTACGTAGTAATGATAACATATTTTATTTTATTTGCAGATCTGAGCTATCGTTCAGTGCAACTTGTCTCGGTTGTGAGGTGTCTACTTCTCTATGATAAAGGTGTGGTTTGCTTCCTAAAAAGGTGGTTTGCTTAGTCGTTGTTCTGCTAATTATTCAAATAAATCAGTAGAGAATGAAGGTTTTCTTATTAGCCCATTACTTATCGTGCCTATAGTAAACTCAACCCGCTGCTAGCTTCCTGAGTAGTACATCCTCTTGACGTTGACCATTCGCTTTCCCATCGCAGAGGATCATGTCCATGTTCACCTCCAGCAGCTCCGGCGTGCCGTCCCCGTCTCCGGAGGCGGGCAGCAGCATGGTCAGAACGGCGCGGCAGCCCCAGCGCCAGGCGTTTGACTACTTCGTGGTTCTAGACTTCGAGGCGACGTGCGAGAAAGGCGCGCAGATCTACCCGCAGGAGATCATCGAGTTCCCCTCCGTGCTCGTCGACGGCGCCACCGGCGACCTCGACTCCGCCGAGTTCCGCACCTACGTGCGCCCGCAGCACCACCCCGCGCTGACCGACTTCTGCAGGGACCTCACCGGCATCCGGCAGGCGGACGTCGACGGCGGCGTGCAGCTGGCCGAGGCGCTCCGCCTGCACGCCGCGTGGCTGCAGGACTCGGCGTGGGCCAGGAGCGGCGGCTGCTTCGCCGTCGTCACGTGGGGGGACTGGGACCTCCGCACCATGCTGGAGACGGAGTGCCGCTTCAAAGACCTCGCCAAGCCGCCCTGCTTCAACCACTGGATCAACCTCAAGATCCCCTTCGCCGCGGCGATGGGCGGAGGTCGGTGGGCTGCTCTGCGGTCGGCCGTCGAAGCGGCGGGGCTCCAGTGGGAGGGCCGCGCGCACTGCGGCCTCGACGACGCTCGTAACACGGCGCGGCTTCTCGTGGAGCTGATGCGGCGCGGCGTCCAGCTCAGCATCACGACCTCGACCCCATCGCCTCAGGTAACTGTAACTCCATACGGTGGCGCCGCCGCGGCGTGCTACTGCTACTGCGGGGTGGCGAGCAGAGGTGGCGTGGTGGCCGTGCCGGGGCCGATGCAGGGGAGATGCTTCTACGGTTGCGGTAACTGGACGCCGTCCATGGGAGCAGCGTGCTCCTACTTCACGTGGGCAGATTAATTGCTACTCAATCCATGGGTTTGGATTTGGAGAATACGCTATAAATTATATGTGCGAGTATCACTCCAGCTCTTTGATTTCTCTTGTCAACACAGTGTTGACAACACTCTTTTGAGCTTGGTTTTCTTAACAACTTGAATCCTATTGCGTGGTGTATTTGATTTTGTCATGAACTTCAAATTCTATACATGTTTGAGTATACTCTGTTTTGCTTGAAATGATTCATTTTCGAAACCATGGTAGAAAATTGCATGTTCCACTACTACAATCTAGTTTTGGGCCGACTTCTGATATTTTGCCGAGTTCATTTGATCGGGAGCTCGGCAAACTTTTGCATGGTATCATGCAAACTTGCACTCGTCAGTGAGAAGAAACTTGGGAAACTTGACGTCTCGTCAAGTGCCAGCGAAAAGGACTCGGTGAAAGTAAGAAACTCGGCAGTGCCTCAAGTTCACCGAGTTCCTCCGGATAAAAACTCGGCAAACACTGGCAGGTGGGCCTCATGGACGAGCATGCGATGAAGGTGTGATGGTGGACTATGTTTGCCGGCTTTCCGCTAATGGAAACTCGGCAATACTTGTACTTGTCTTTTCTACCGAATTCGACGGGTTACGTGTATGTCAAGTACATGTGAAAAACAACTCGACTATTTATTTTTGTTTTTCCGTTTTTTATACAGAAATCAAGGAGTCAAGTGTATGCCTAGCGTCCGCAGGGATAAACTCGACATAAATATGGCAGGCGGACCCGCATGGCATGTGTTATTGAGTCTCCCTATAATGAGTTCTGAAACTCAGCAAAGGGCTAAATCTTGGTCTTAAGCGGGGAACATGCACTAGTAGAAAACAGGGCTTTGGTTCAGGTCGGGCCAACCCATTTGTTCCGGTTCAGCCCAGAACCGGGACCCATGGGGGCATAGGTCCCGGTTCGTGAGGCCAGGTGGCCGGCCGGGCCATCGTGGGGCATTGGTCTCGGTTCATCTGGCACCTCTCGAACCGGGACCAATGTGCCTCGCTCCTGGCCCCACCATCATTGGTCCCGGTTGGTGGCTTGAACAGGGACCAAAGGGTGTCCTTTAGTCCCGATTCCAGCCACGAACCGGGACCAATGATATGCCTATATATACCCCTTGCCCGCGAGCAGAGCAATGGAGTGCTCTGTTTTTTGGGAGAGGTGTGTGAGAGGTGTGTTGTTCTCAAGCTCACCTCCTATGCACATGAGGTGTTCGATGAAATGCCCGAGCCACACTTAAGTTTTCTCCTCTCGAAGCTCCTTGTCCAAGCTCCATTTTCCTCGAGATTTGTCTAGGTTTGACGGTCCGTCCTGTACCGTCCCCGTCCTCACCGCCGTTGATTGCCTGCGCCGATCTCATCGCCTGCACCACCGTGTGAGCCTCTTGATCTTATCTTCTTTCTAAAAGAAAAGAGTTCTTACTTGTATGATTTAGATAGATACTTGTGTAGTTTTCTTACTTATTATTATTTTTTATTATATAGTGCGATGGTTTTGGTATCCGCCTCCGTCGGCCCTCGTCCTGTCTATGATTCAGATGTGGTATATATATTTTCTTTTATAACTATTAGTTCCATGTAGTGTTTATGACAATTATGTCGAGCAACGGGACATAGATTTTTTTATCTAGGAGGTATGTGAACCGGAAATTCCAACCGACCCTATTGTCGAGAGGTTAAATTTAGTTGAAGAAGAAAACAATTACTTGAAGGAAAAATTGAAAAAAAATTGAGGAGGAGAAAATGATATTGGAGTTGCATGTTGCGGATGTCATCGATGATCACAAGATCAAGATGGATGCAATGCGCTTGAAGATTAGAAAGATTAGAAAATATGTCGTTCATACTGAGGCTTGGTATCATTATGATGTTGGATCAATTGTTACCTTGGTTGCGGTTATGATCGCATTTGTTGTTGCCTTGAAATGTTTTACATAGTTTCAATGTATGGCTTAATTAGATGCTCTGAAGAGCTATATGTTGTTCAATGAGAACAATGTATGTACTTTGGGTTTAATGTGATGATGAACTTCTATTAATTTGGTCACTTATCTATTCATGATGATGTATGCAGAGGTGAACCGACAATGGATGTACGGTAACAGACGCACCTCCGAGTACATTAAGGGCATGAATAATTTTCTCGCAGTGGCTGAGGCAAACAAGCAGAATGGTTTTATGTGTTGTCCATGCCCTATATGTGGGAATACGACGTCTTACTCTGACTCGAAAACCCTTCACATGCACATTCTTTATAAGGGTTTCATGCCACACTATAATGTTTGGAGCAAGCACGGAGAAAGAGGGGTTATGATGGAAGACAACAAAGAAGAAGAAGATGATGACAACTATGTGCCCCCTGAATACGGTGATGCTGCAACGGGGGAAGCTGAAGATGCTGCAACTGGGGAAGCTGAAGATCAAGAGGAACCAGATGATGTGCCCGATGATGATCTTCGCCGGGTCATTGTTGATGCAAAGAGACAATGCGAAAGTGAAAAGGAGAAGCTAAAGTTTGATCACATGTTAGAGGATCACAAAAAAAGGTTGTACCCCAATTGCGAAGATGGCAACACAAAGCTCGGTACCGTACTGGAATTGCTGCAGTGAAAGGCACAGAATGGTGTGCCTGACAAAGGATTTGAGAAGCTACTAAAAATATTGAAGAAGAAGATTCCAAAGGATAACGAATTGCCTGATAGTACGTATGCAACAAAGAAGGTTGTATGCCCTCTAGGATTGGAGGTGAAGAAGATACATGCATGCCCTAATGACTGCATCCTTTACTGCGGTGCATACGAGGATTTGAACGCATGCCCGGTATGCGGTGCATTGCGGTATAAGATCAGACGAGATGACCCTGGTGATGTTGACAGCAAGCGCCCCAGGAAGAGGGTTCCTGCCAAGGTGATGTGGTATGCTCCTATAATACGAAGGTTGAAACACATGTTCAGAAACAAAGAGCATGCCAAGTTGATGTGATGGCCCAGATAGGACCGTAAGAAAGACGGGAAGTTGAGAGCACCCGCTGAAGGGTCACAGTGGAGAAAAATCGAGAGAAACTACTGGGAGGAGTTTGCAGGTGACGCAAGGAACGTATGGTTTGGTTCAAGCGCGGATGGCATTAATCCTTTTGGGGAGCAGAGCAGCAATCACAGTACCTGGCCCGTGACTCTATGTATCTATATGTTGGAAATGTGCCCAAGAGGCAATAATAAAATGATTGTTATTATATTTCCTTGTTCATGATAATTGTCTGTTATTCATGCTATAATTGTGTTATCCGGAAATCGTAATACATGTGTGAATACATAGACCACAACATGTCCCTAGTAAGCCTCTAGTTGACTAGCTCGTTGATCAATA